AGCAGGAAAAATGGAATGAAAAAACATACAAAATGCAGGCCAATTTATTATATTCACCAGATATAAAACTGTCACATTGATTTAAATTCTTAAACTTACTCTCAACTTTTGCTCCCTATTGGACCAGCAATAATCCTAGTGACCAACTTTTGCAAAACACTGTTCAAGACAGCAATCTTGCAAACGTCAATCTGTTCTTAACACTGTTCCATTTCGAGAACCTAATATTTCCCTCTTTCCGCAAATGTTTTTCAAAAGCCTAAATTACCTGCCACAAAACATAACTGGCCAAGAATATATTCAGCAATTACTCCCGATTAAAATAACACTGACCCCCACCAACTAAAGCAACACCCACCCGAAGAATCATTAAAAAGTGGAGCCAGCGACGATACAGAGAAAGAGGCAGACGACGCACAGCAAACTAAATGAGCTTCTTTTCGGGGCCCAAAGACCCCACAGCCTCCAGGTTCTACTGACGGTTGTGGCTTAAAAGCCACTTCTTCGGCCCCAAAACACAGGTTTTCCGAACTTGCCAGCCCAGACGCTCTCCCGGAAAACCCACCAAGCAGTCATGGGTGGAGCTGGGTCCGAGGAGCCGCAGCCCATCTCCACTCAGGCATCCTCCAGCTAGTCTGAGACTGACTTTACGCAATCTCCTCGTCCCGGCCGCCTGCCGGTGCCCCCTCTGCCGGGCCAGCACTACCCCTGCCGTTTGTCTACTATACTCACCCCATCCCCAATCCTCTGCCCCAACTCCCCCTCTTCTTCAACCCCTCCCCCCGCCCGCTTGTGCGCCGTGGCAGCCATTAAGGCCACGCTGGGAGCCGCAGCCCGACCACGGCAAAGCCGGCAATCTAACAGCATCCGATCCGTGCACCGCGCCAGACGGAACCTAGGCTGCCTTTAGGACAAGGAGAGGGAACCCCCGTGCATCTCTAGCCCCGAGACCGGGATACACACCATCCTGTAGAACAGAAGCTCTAGCCGCCACCGAGCTGCAGAACCAGCACGGCTCCGGGGGGGGAAAAAGGCCGCGGCGCGTGCGCAGGCGCAGTATGTAGCGCCGACGCTCACGCCAGCGACGTGCGGAAGAGAGACCCGCCGGCCGCCTGGCTTGTAGTACTCCACCCCCTGCTGGTGGGAGGACCGATGCTGGACTTCGCCTTCCCGGAACAAATCCTCAAAGTCGCGGGGTCCCAATCTCCTGGCTGGTGATCCGACAGGGAAGGGCGGTGATCAGTAGCAGGGAGGGTTGTAAAAGGCTTTCACTTTCCTATGCTAGGAAGTTGTTTCATAACAAGCATTATTACTTTTGTAAGCAAGAAAAAAAAAAGTTTAAAAATTAAATAGAATGAATTAGCTCTAGAGCCCCTTTGCCCCCTCCTTGACTACTCCCTCCGGGTCCATAGCATGCAGATTCCCCCTCAGGAAGCCAAGCCTGGGTTAGGGGTCTTCCCACAGCACCTTTGTACCTGTCTCAGCCTACCCTAGATTGTAAACTCCCTGAGGGTGGGCCCTGCTGTCAAGTTCACCTTTGAATCTCCAGCATTTAGCACAGTACTCACATTCAGTAAGTATTCGGTATTTGTTAAATGGTAAAAAAAAAAAACCTACTACTGTCTCCCTCCATTGTCTTCCCTGATCCCTGACTGCCTTATTCCTTTTCCCTCCCTCCATCACTCTCATCTAGTCAACATAACTTTTTTCTAAGTCCCTTTTTTCATTCTTTTAAAACTAATTGCAACTTAAGAATTCCCTATTCTCCACACAGAGACTGAGAAGAACCAATCAACCAAACCACCAAACAAAAAAGCACCTCAAGAAACAGTATTCCCTCACCCAACAGTATTTCAAAGGTGGTCTTTGGGCTATTGCATGGGAATTGTTTGGGTACTAGGTAAAATGCAAATATCTGAATATTCACCACCTCTAGTAAATCAGACTGGCTGGCTTGGGGACTGGAAGTCTACATTTTACATTTGGCCTCAATCAAGCCAAGCCAAAAGGTCTCAGGAACGTAGACAACAAATTCTATTTTCCCAATAGTGGAATTTCCTGACTCCACCAGGAAAAAAAGACAAATTACATACTGGCACAGCAATTTAAAATTTACCCATCCTTAGAATGAATTTTAACTCTGTACCCCCATCCTCCAATGATTTAAGCCTGCTCTTGGGACATGAGTGTGTATAAGTTTAATGTAGCAGGAAAGAATCAGCATGTAAACTGCTCAGTGTCAGAGCTGGGAGAAGGGTCTGCTGAACAGAATGAGCAGGTTAAGTGGTTCCAAAAAACTGCCACTTGAAACAAATCAGAACCGTAAGGCCAGTTTCCTCTGGTTTCAATTTGTAACTCCTTTTATAACCAGAAAAATTTACATTGAGTCCACTCTGGCCAAGGTCTACAAAGCCCTCAAGGAGAAATGCTGAAATATTCCTCACAGGCAAGTGTGGTTCCATCTTTGTCGAGTGGCTTTTGGAAATATAAAGAAAGAGGCATACAATTTGTGTTTATAAAAAGTACATAAGACCTTCATTTTGGTAGTCCATCAAGTTATTAGCCTACAAAACGTGCCACATGTCTTGGTCAGGCCCTGCTTACATCGCAGGTGGAATCATCAAGAGGGACAGTCTACCTGGAAATAGGTCCAGCCCTAACTTTTGCACGTTGTAGGGCAAGGGTACATATGAAGGCCACATACCATTAACCTGAATATTTGGAAGTTATGAAGCAAGCTAACACACAATTAAATGTGTTATTCTTCTTATCTTGCTTCTTCTTACCTTATAAACCTTTATAAGAACAAAATTAAAATATGTGAACCTATTCCCTTTGGTTGCAGCTGGGGGGTTGTGGCTAGCGTTGTGACGAAAGAAACGGAAGTAACAGCATGGCTGGCTCAGCCAGTGCAGTTGGTGACACCAGGAACCAGGGGGAACTTGTCCAGCACCCTCTACCAACATAATCTTGTTCAAGTAGTAATACTTAAAAATCACAGTAATGGGACAAGTCAGTTTTGTGTGCCTCCTGATATCATGCACTGAGAACACAGTCTAATTTAATTGTCTGATACATGATGAAACTGCAAACAAACCTAGATTGAGGGATTCTATAAAGTAACTGTCTGCATTCTTCAAAAGTGACAAAATCCTGATGGATAAGGAAAGACTAAAGAACTATTCCAGATTAAAAGAGACCAAAGTGACATGACAAACTTCATGCAATGTGTGATCCTAGACTTCATCCTGGACAAGAAAGGAAAAAAAGAAAAAGGAAGGTTTTTTATTTCTTTTGTATGAAGGACATTCTCAGAACAATCAGTGAAATTTGAATGGAATCTGTGAATTAGATGGTAGTAATAGATCAATGTTAATTTTATTTTGATAAGCACACTATGGTTGTATATGAGACTGTTCTTATTTTTTAGGAAATATACTCTGAACTATTTTGGAGTAATAGATATTATTTCAGCAACTTACTCTCAACAAATGACTCAGAAAATAATTACATTTGTGTGTATGTACACATATACATATACGTAAAGAGAAAGAAAATGATAAGGCAAACATGTTAAAATGTTAACAATAGGGAATCTGGAAGAAGGGTATATGAAAATTCTTTGTACTGTTCTTACAACCAATCTGTGATCTTGAAATTATTTCAAGATAAAAAATAAAACATTGGGAATTCCCTGGTGGTCCAGTGGTTACGACTCAGTGCTTTCACTGCCTGTGAAATACCTGGTCAGGGAACTAAGATCCCGAAAGCAGCACGGTGTGGCCAAAGGGGGAAAAAAAAATAGGGAAATTATTAAAAATAAAACATTGATTCCTGTTAGAATAGGAAATATTTCTTTTATTATTTGAAATGAAAGCAAACTCAGTTTTATCAAATAAATCAGCAGTTTTTAGTTCTGGTAGTGATGATTTAACAACAAAATATGGAAAGTTTTCCCATATTTATTTTCCCATATATGTTACCCATATATTATGAATTTGAGGTACCTACCTACTGCCCTAATCAGCTAGTTCTTTACTGAAACCACCATAATTATGATCAAAAAACATCTTAAGTTATCTCAAAATGTTTTTTTCTTTGCAATTGTGTTTTTATTAAATCATGATGATGACAGATTTTTTCATTTTATTTTATTTATTTATTCATTTGGTTGCACTGGGTCTTAGTTGCGGCACGCGGGCCCCTTAGTTGTGGCATGCAAACTCTTAGTTGCGGTATGCATGTGGGATCTAGTTCCCTGACCAGGGATGGAACCTGGGCCCTCTGCCTTAGGAGTGGCAGAGGGCCACTCCTTAACCACTGCACCACCAGGGAAGTCCCTGAAATTGGTTTTTGCTTTACATGACCTTATGGTTATACACTGAAGGATAGCAAATAGGTAAACTCCTTTATGGTTGGATCCCCTCTTTTGATATGAACACATTAGAAACATTTTAAACCTATTTTTTTTTTGCCACACCGCTTAGCATGTGGGATCTCAGTTCCCACAGTGGTCCCTGCAGTAGAAGTGCAGAATCCTAACCACTGGACCGCCAGGGAAGTCCCTTAAACCTGTATTTTTATCTAGGAAAAAAATAATTAGTCTTCAATGAAAGAATAAACTTTGTTTCTTAACAGGAAAATGTATAAAGCTATGATTTTTATAGGACTGAAAGTCAAAATATCAAGGACAATCAAACATAATTATGATTGAGCATGTCTGGGTGTTCTGTTGATAGGCTATTTATGTTTGAATGGCTAATAAGATAAAGACATACAAAATTCATAAATTATAATATATTTATTCCATAAAACTTCCTTTTTATCTCTTCATTTCAGCAAAATCTCTGTGTTGTCATCACCAAGATAGCTCGTCATTTGTGTTCTACATATAAGAAGGCCAAATTGGACAACTTTTCTTGGGTCATTGTGGTTCTTGAATCATTTCTATTAATTTCAATTCGGAGAAACTTAGCTATGCTGAAGCAAGAGAAACTGGAATTTTAAATAATGTTCATAAGGCAATACTTAGATTTGGAAATGAACCGAATTTTTCACATATCACATTCAAACAATATAATGGTGTCATATATGATAAATTATTGTTTTCAATAGAACACAATAGAAACTATTACCAGATATTTTGGTATTATATAAACCACTGCCAGTTTTATCGCAATTTTCTCTGTCTCTTACAATAATATCCACATCCACCCAAGTTTTGTTATTATTCTTACAAAATTTCAACGATGGGGTGTAATACAGGAAAACAAAAATAGTAGTATGTTGCTCAGTTTGTTCAAATGTCTTTTCAATCAGACTATATACACTGACCTATTAGGGTCAGAAAATAATCTCTATTGAGATTAGGTTTAGGTTTCTTTGTACATGTTTTCTTCTTCACATTCATGCAAACTTTTCCGTTTCCTTCTTCTAATTTCCTTATATTTCATTAGAATGTCACATTTGTTGAATATTCCTCATGCAGTTTCATTCAATTTAGAAAAAAATTTGTCTACAATTTTCATATTTTTAAAAATTAGATCTGTTTGGGGTTTGAACACTTGTACTATGATTAAAAGCAAGTAATACTACATATTAAAAAATTAGACAGCACAAATTTAAAATTCACTTTTTTCTGCCGAAGACTGATTTGCTCATTATTTGAGCACCTTCTGTTGTTTCACTTTACTCTCCTACAGCCTCTCAGGTCTGGTCTAAATCAAATCTAACTTTTAACACAATGAAAAACCTCTGGAACCAGGAACTGGAACATAAAGATAAGCAAGAAATTGGAGGCTTGGCTTTACTCAGTCACGAAACTTCGTTATTCCAGAATCGTTTGTGTTCACGTTATCACAAAGAAAGGATTCAACAAGTTAATTTGTTTTTTTGTCTTTCCTAAAAAAAATTTCCATTACTCAAATCCTCCTGTACTCCAAAGCAGTATTTGTTTCAAATGTTAACAGCAGCACAAACCTAAAACCTTCATGACATTCAGACACAATTGCCTTTTGTGTCGAGGACACAGCACAAGAAATGTGGAACAGCAATTCCCTGGGGCCTGGAAGGTGTTCATTACCAGGGCAGATGCTTAGAGTTTCTGGTGA